TTTTTTTTTTTTTTTCACTCTGATTTTCACTGATGATGCATTAATTTGGTTTTCCCCAAGCTGAGCCTGCTTTGCCCATGACGATAACTGTTGACTCTCCCTGTCCTTATCTCTATCCATGAGCCTTCCATCATACTCTCTCTCCCCTGCCCAGCTGAGGAGGGAAGGGATGGAGGGGCTTTGGGTGGGCACCTGCCCTCCGGCCAGGGTCAGCCCACTGCAGGTTTGAAAGCTCTAGTGTTGATGATTTATTATCAGAAGAAGGAGCTTCCTGTAGGTGAACCCCCTCTTCAAACCCGTGGGAGATAATACACACTAGGTTTGTTCGCTGTGACTCAGTTTTAAAACTTACAAACCCTCCTGAACAGGGGAAGGTACTTCTGCAACAAGATGTTGTCGTTAACTTTACACGGTCTTTGTTCAGAACTGATTTTTCTGACATGCCTTTGTACTTCAATTTTTAGGTCGTCTGTAGCTTAATTAGTGCTAATTTGTTTTGTGATTGGCAGATCCCTTCATAAAATAGAACTAAACGTGTTAGCACAAGTACAAGATAAGTATGCAACTGGTTCTTATCTGCCTTGTGACGCTTATTCTAGAATACCTTGAGCAAATCAGGAAACCCTTACGGCTGTCAGTGACATCGTTTGAAAACCTGGCAGTGTTTAGGGGTTGGTTTGGTTGGTTTATTCCTTATTTAAAGTGGAAACTATACATCTGAGATTTAGGGGAGCCGAATGCCTATTAACATCAGGTGTTAATATAGTTAGCAGTGGCCAAAAATCCTCTTACTTCTCGATTGTGATATTTGGAAGTTGGTTTGAGTTTATGACACTGAAGTTGGGAGTCTTTGTTGGCTCTCACTGGTTACATCTGCATGTGTGTGTTTTTAAACGTATAGAGTTAGACACCGAAAGACGATTGCTCGTTAGCAATTGTCTGGGGGTAAGTATTTTTTTTCTCCTCTAAGTGTATGTATTGTGGTGGGTCATTCTGTAGATACCTCTACATAAATTGTGTTTTCTTCTTGCAGTCAAAGCTGGAGGTATGAGAGTGTCTAAAAAACAAGAAAATGGACCTGTTGAGAGAAACACTAAACCTCCAGGGAGAGAAAAGACAAGGTACTGCACTGCAGGGCCTGTTCAGCCCTGCCCTGGAGTTCAAGTGGGTGTGTGATGGGCCGAAGGCTGAACACAAAGACAGCTCTTAAATTCCAAAGAGTTTAATTCTTGATGTAACCTGTGCGCTGTATAAATAAAAGGCAACTTTGAGGTAATCATTTGCTTCAAAACAAAAAACCCCAACCTTCAAAACCTGCGTACGGTGCCTTGCGGTGAAAGACAAAGGCTGAGTCTCTATCGTCATGGAGCAGAAGTCAGCAGAGATGTGTTGCCTACCCTGTACCTGATAAAGTAATCATGGAGTGGTTGGGATGGGAAGGGATATTAAATCCCACCCCCTGCCATGGGCAGGGACACCTTCCATAGCCTGAGAGTGTCCAAGCCTCATCCAGCCTGGCCTTGGACACTCCCAGGGATGGGGCATCCACAGCTTCTCTGGGTGACCTGTCCCAGTGCCTCCCCACCCTCTGCGGGAAGAATTCCTTCCTGATGTCCCATCACAATCTGGACACAGAAGTGCTCCGGGTGACTTTGCTCTGATTTCCACTTGTTTTCCCACGCTGAGATCTCAGTTGCCTGTATGACTTTTGATGGAGAGGTTTCCCTCTGGTGTTCCCGGGCATCTTTTGCTGCTGGCAAGAGGCCGCCTTTTCCAGGGGAATGTCTGTGTGTACGTTGCAGTCACAGTACAAGTGTCTGACCCTCGCTACAAGGTACCGCAGTCGATAACATCCTGGTGACGTAGGTTCTTTTGCCAGGAGTCAACAGGAAAGGTTGTGACTGACAGCTGAAGTCAGGTTTTGGACCAAGGTGTGATGTTATTTTCTGCCTCTAAAATGTTGTAGTCAGCTGGATAACTTGTAAGTTAGCTGGGTTTAGCCAGGTTTATGCTGACAGTGATGCTCTGCAGGGTACAGAAATTACCACTGTGGGTTTTTCCTTGCGTTTTCACTCCACGCTGACCTGGAGGACCTTAAGGTAAAGTAAAATTGTATGTTACAAAATAACACCAACTTCTTTCCTGCTCACAGTTCCTTGCATGAGATCCGTGGTTACTCTGCGTGGCACACGCGTTGGTGGGCCTGGGGATTTTGTGGTCAGGTTGCAGGCAGAGAACTCCGTAGGTCAGTAGCTGTCATGTACAGACTCTTTGCCTCCCATTTCTGATTCAGGTGAGATTACCTGATCGGGTTGAAGTCATCGTCAGCTTAACGTTGCTGCTCAGAGCTGCGCTGGCCTCGGCAGGGGTGGTGCTTTGAGACTGAGTGCTGAAGCAGCAGGCTTGCTCTAAAGGAGCTGTGTCGTACATGGCGTGACAGAGCGTCACGCTCGTAGCTAGCTGCCTGCCCCACGGTTTTCTGACAACACGTTACGCTTCCCTGTACCTCGTTAGTTAAGAGGAATGGTTCAGAGTTTGGAGTGTTCTTGGGGTTTGTTGTTGTTTAATTCCTTGGCTTGGGGTTGGTTTTTTTGTGTTCTGGAGTTGGAAGGATTTTATTTTCATGGATTGCCAGTTGTCTCTGTGGCTTTTTGCTGCTTTCTTTTCTGTGGTTGCCTGGTGGCATAACCAGATCTTGAATAGGTTGTATTTGTCAGTGTGGCAAACTGCATTGATGGCTAAATTGAAATTTCAGTAGGAAATGTGTCTTGCTGGACCTACAGAATCGTTAGCTCAAAAAGCAGATGCTGCTTTAGTTGGTCACGTTTAAGGTGTCTGGTTCCATGTGGAAGGGTGACAATGATTTGTCTCTACTCCACTGTAAGGTACAGAGCTGCCTGCAAACAGTGGTGTCGTCAGAAGAATGTGCACGTTCCACACTCCCTGTTGCTGAACTAAATCAATTCGTATCCACAGGTTGTTTATTTGTGGAATACTGGTAAAATGAATATGAAGAAAATGGGATAATCTTATGCTAAGAGTTTTTGTGTGACAAGTTGCTGCACTCAAAGGAAACTCCCAGAAAGCAGAGGGTGAACTTTTTTCATGGGTCTGGATTGGAATTGAGAAAATTATCAAGTCAGATTTTGTAGTTCTGGAGATCAGTGCTCAGGGATTGTGAAGCTACGCCACAGTGTACAAAAAAAAAAAATCCCTTTTGAGATATTTAAGGATATTTTATGTAGGTATTTTTTATGTAACACTATAAATAAATCAGCAACACAGACTGTGCATTATTCTGTTCTGAGGCAGCATGCCGGTTTTTGTCCTATGGCCTTTAATGTGATTAAAGGATTTGGCTCCAAAACGTCAATTTCTATTACAGAATGTTTGGTATTAAAGCTGGGAAATGGAATCAGCGAGTGTTTCTGTGAGATGGAAATGCCAAATACCTTCTTCTTTCGTTTTGCAGTGCTATTGCTGGTTTTCCACGCCCTCGGAACATGGGTGCCTTGGTAGCAGAAGTGCTGAGCAAAGTAAGTACCTCTGGAAGAACAAGGTGCAGACTTGCCAGGGCTTCTCTCTAAAGGTAAGCATAAATCAGAAAGTGAATTCTCCTCCAGCTGCTGTTGTCTGATGTTGGTAGGTTTGTCATCTACTGCTCTCGTTCTCAAGATGAGCTGTTTCTTTAGCGTTTGTGTGGCTAAAATGCTTCCAATACTGTTTCACTACCATTTTAGATGACTTTCATGTGATGGAATTCAGGAAGGGAATAGGAGAAAAGCTGTATTCTATCACAGCTTTTTTTTTTTCTCACTTTAATGTTACAGATGAGCCACAAAATTCATGCAGCAGCGTTACGAGTGGCTCACCAGAAGCCACACCCGGCCTTGGAGAAGTTCATAGTGCCTAAAAGAATGTACATTATTCAACAGCCGCGGAAATGTTGATACTCCTTAAAATGCTCGTGTACTTAACGGGAGTTTCTGTGCTACACAGCACCTCGCACACTGTGGTGAAAGGATCAGTACCTATGTGCCTTGTACCTCCCTGTGCTGCTGTCACTGCCAATAAAACACTTGGTAAGAAGTTACTGGATGTACGGGGGTTTTGTTACACATCCTGGGTTCTGCCTGATGTGGTTTTACTGGCAAGCAGTAATTACGCCGTGCCAGGAGTCCACCAGCTGCACGTGGTATGAGTTCTGAGTGGAGCGATGGAAACAGTCAGCCCTTGGTTCAGCTGCTTGTGTTCAACGGCAGCAAAGCTGAAGGGAATGTGATCCTAAGAAGGCAGGTCCTGGCTGGAAGGGGTGTTCCCCAGGGGTTTGATACATCCCAGAGAATGTTCTCAAACTTTCTGGAGAGTCAGATGGCCTGACACTTGACCTCAGTCCTTGGTCGGGCTCTGTTTCCCTTTAGGCCAGGTGTTCATGTGAATGTGTGCCTTAGGCTTGTGGCATAATAAGGAACTTCAGAAAGTCCTGGGAAAGACTTCCATCAGTCCGGAAGTACGTTTTCCTTGTATTTCCTTGTGTGAGGAAGTCGGCCCCTCTGCTGGGATCCTGATGGAGAGGACCAGTGGAAGCAGCCTGCTTGTGGGAACCCCTGGGGGTTGGCGAGGGGGGGCTGCACCTGGCTTGGGGCTGAGCCTCAGGAGCCTGGGGCAGGTGGGAGGCAGGAGTCGAGGTGCAGATGCAGAGATGGGAAGGTGGAGTTCAAGGCTGGTAGGGTCTGAGGGCTCCAGCTTAATAATGGGGAGGAGCAGCTGTGAATACAAGTACAGAGACTGTCCTTGGGCCTTGCCTGCTTATGCTGTCAGCAAAAGCCACTGGAAACAGTCCTGCCCGGTGCAGAGGGTAACACTCCTACTGCTGCTCGCCGATGGGGTAGCTCAGCTGACTTCTTCCTCTGAATTTAACTGTCGTCGAGGAATCCAAACAGACTTAATCAGTATGAAAGATGAGGCTCAAGAATGTTCATCTGGTCAATGAGGCTTGTTTTTAGAGTGTGCTTTCCATGTGGCTGCGGTGGGGGTCTGTTACGAACATGCAAAACACGCTCCCCCTGAAGAGAGGTGTCGCAGGTGGGTTAGCCGGCACCCGTGTTAGCCCTGACGTGAACCTCTGCTTCGTTCCAGCCATCCATAAAATGTAAACAGCGTTACATGTGCATGAAAGATTAAATTACCATCGCAGGAGGAGGCAATTAGTGGTACGTGCAATAAGTCATTTGGTCATACAAGTAGGAAAACTAAAATACTGCTGCTCCTATGAAGGCTGTTTTCTCTCCCCGTTGCTTACAGACTGGTAGCTACTGTAACCCACCGTCGCTGCGGTCCGGGACACCAGCAGCAACATACTTGATGGGTATGGAAGTTGTAGGTGTGGGGTTTGGAGAACAGCTGGTTCTGTTGTACAGCGTCTGTAGCACGCTTGCCGCTCCCCGGACGGTTGTGTGTGACGAGTATCCGTGTGAGTGTAAGTGGTGAGCCGTGGTTTGCGTTAAGGCTCCCCGCCACGTGAGAGACGAGGATTCGTGCTGCCAAGGCCAAAACCAGCACCATGCACTGTAACGTGCCAGTGGCTGAGACGCTGCGGAAAGACTGTTAGTAACTCCTTAGAATTCTGCTCTTTGTCCTTTCTGTTTCGGGAGGAAATTGAAGACTAGTGAAAAATCCCAGGATCTGGTTCTGAGGGCCTTCACAAACACCACTGTCTCTGAAGTAACCTGCTTCTGAAAACCTGCTCCAGTCTAGCCAAGGATTTAATGCAGAACGTGACTTTGTAGGAAAAGGATTATCCTTCCCCGAGTTACACCCGCCCTTCCCCTGGCTCCTAGACTGGCCAGACACCCACTTCTTCCAGCCAATTTGTGCTTAGGGTATCCCTGAAGGGGAACACGTGGAACACACACACACACACCCCCTCCGGTGCCCAGAGGGCTGGGTTGCAGCCTGCAGTGGGTAACTGTGTGTTGCACCCTGCTGGGAGCAGCTACTCGAGGGCCTTGGGAACGGAGGT